ATGAGATGATAGAGTACATAGTTGGGGAAAAGCCGGGAGCTGAGGATAACGTCATAACCAAGATGAAGAACGAAAAAAGGAAAAGACAAAGAGAGCCCTTAGTTCAACCAAATACAGAGAAAACAACAAGAGAGCATTAGAGTATAGAAAACTATAAGAACAAAAACAAAGAAAAGAGAATAAGAATTAACAGATTATTCAGAAATGAGAGTGTATTGTGGGGAAGAAATTTGAGCGACAGTTTGAGAAAGACAGAAACCAAAACTAACTCGGACCCAGCACTTCTTTACTCTTCACAGTCACATCAAAGAGAAAAAACAGTAAAAAAAAAAATAAATAAAAAAAAAAAAAACAGGTAATTCGACTAAGAAGAAAAGAGAAGAATTCACAGAAAAGACAAGGAAGTATGTGGAGTGCTGAACGAATCATTTTAAAGTTCGAGTCATTGGAAGCAAAAGTGCAATGCTTTCTATGTCTTTCCCCATAGAAACGAGTATATCAGAAGGTACTTGACACCATACACACAAGGGAAGAGGTAAAAAAAAAAAATTTTGATGGAGCGGATACAGCAAGGGGTGAGATCTGAAAAGGGTTATCCCCAAAGGACCTACAGGAGGAGCAGAAGCACTCTTTTGAACCACTGTTTAAAGGTCTACAAGTCAAGTAACACGGGACAGTCACTAGAGATCTGGAAGACAGTGTATTCAAACCTACATTAAGTCAGGAGGCACTGAACTACAGGCTAGTTTTACTAACATGTACACCGCGCAAGGTAATGGAGAAGATAGTTTAGCAAGGAAGTGGCAGACTAACATGGAGACCTGAGAGAGTTCCGGGGTCAACGTCCCCGCGGCCCGGTCTGTGACCAGGCCTCCTGGTGGATCAGAGCCTGATCAACTTATCTTACCAACCTTCACAAGTCTATGACAAAGTGACAGAAGTGAGACAGAAGAGAGAGGACTAGGTGAATTGCATTTTCGTAGACTGCAAAGGCATTTTAAAACTGTACTCCACATGAACTGGAGCAAAAAACCCTTAAACAGCAGGAATAACGGGAACGTCCTCCATTTAGAAGAAGGAAATGCATAGAACTGTCGGGAAAGAAATGTGTGGAGAAGAGTAGCAAGCGAGGTAAACCCCAAGGATCCGTATTTCGACCAGTACTATTTCTGATTTAATATGAATAACATACCAGAAAGGAAACGAGTCAGACGTATGTCTGATGAGACGGGGAAAGACCGCAAACAGATCTGGACAAACTGTAAGGTTGGTCAGATAAGTGGTTGCTTGAACTCAACCCCAGCCCCTGAGTATAGACTCAGGAACAGAGGCTGCAGACCCATTCAGAAATAAGGACCTGGGCGTAACAAGTGCCTACATACACCAGAGGCTCATACAAAACCGAATAATTTTCAGCCAATCCGCCGGCAAACCCTAAAGTGGGCCCACAGGAAACCCAACAAAGATCAATTCCCGGCGCTGTAACAACAGTCAATGCTATCTTGGGGGGGCGCAGCACCAACAGAACCCACACCTGAAGAGGGATGTTAAGAAACTAAAGAAAGTGCAGAAAATTTTAAGAGGCTTTGTTTTTTGATTGAAAGGCATGAGTTAAAAGAGACAAATGAGATAATTAAAAAACCTTTTAGGAGAAGGGCAAAAGGAACATGAAAATAAAATATAAAAAACCCGCAATGACAGTGAAACGGACAAAAGTTTGGAGGCGGGAAAGA